TGGCCTGCACTGCACAACGCATTGCCTCCCGTCTGTTCACGGACACACGGTTGACATAGCTGCCCTCCGACGGACAGGATTCCCAGGAGCAGACTGATGTCACCAGTGCAGGCAGCCAAGCTGGATCATAACAACCCAAACCAACTGAGGCCTGGAGCATGCGCCTGGCTCTACCTCCACACAGCCACACGGGAGCCTCCCTCCACCTGATCGCGACAAGTGTCCTCCCAACGCCAGCTGCAGGCGCAGGAGCAAACACAACTGTGTCCCAAAGGCTGTCCCAGCACTGGAGTAGAAAAAGGTCCCAGCGCAAGACCGGCTTCTAAAACAGTAACATCACACACACACACTCACACTCACACACTCACACACACTCACACACACTCACACACTCACACACACACACACTCACACACACACTCACACACACACACACACTCACACACACATACACACACTCACACACACTCACCCATACACACACAGTCTCACACACACTCACACACACTCACCCATACACACACAGTCTCACACACACTCACACACACTCACACACACACACACACACACACACACACTCACACACACACACACTCACACGCACACACACACACACACACACACACACACACTCACACTCACACACTCACACACACTCACACACACTCACACACTCACACACACACACACTCACACACACACTCACACACACACTCACACACACACACACACACTCACACACACACACACACACTCACACACACTCACCCATACACACACAGTCTCACACACACTCACACACACTCACCCATACACACACAGACTCTCACGTACACACGCCTCTCACAGTAAACAATAAGAACATCTCGCCCACAAGAACGTGCTAGAGGTGATGATTCTCATAAGTGACGCGCCCGGAAATGCCTCCTTCCGGTTCCAGATTCGGGCTTTGGCCCAGGGGGTCCTGGGATGTGAGTTCTCCCAGCCTGAGTCTGCCGGGCGGCTGCACCGCACACTGAGAAACAGCGAGGAGCCAGCTTTGGAATAGAGGCGACGCTACTGACGGAAACAGAATTGACAGGGAAAGAAGACGAAAGCCAGCACACCATCCCCCCCCCCCCTCCCTCCAGGAGCGCCGCGCATGGGCCCCGTAAGGAGAAGCCAGTGCCCTGCGGAGCCTGCAGCCAGGACGTGGTCCTTGGGAGACCAGCTCCGGCGCACGGGCCCCACACCGCGAGGAGGGCATCCCAGGAGAGCATGCCACAGGCACAGGCCGGCTGCAGGAAGCACAGGTGCCGGCTCTGGAGGAAACCATGGGCTCTGACCAGCAAGTAGGGAAGGACCCGCACAAGAAAACGGCCTCTGAGATCGGGAGACGCAGGGAAGGGCCTAAGGCCGTGCAGGAAACGCCCTGAGGAAGGTGAGCTTGAGGACTGGGAACTCGGGAGACACCAGGCTGGGAATCAGACCCCGGAAGTTGGGGCGCTGCTCTGGAAACACCATCACTGACTGTTTGCTCCATTGTGACCTGTTCCCTGTGTCAGAGCAGAGACAGGCCTGCGGGCAGGAGCTGCTGGAGCAGAGGGGAGAGGGAGAGGCCCATGCAGAGAATTACACCCCTGCTGGCGGGACAGAAAGATCCCACTGTTCAGGGGTGCTTGGGAGAGACAACCCGTGGCCCCTGACTGGCTCACTGGGGCAGCCGGCAGAAGAAGAGGCGAGAGGAACATGGGCCGGGTTTCACAGACCTGTGATGGCGATGGCGCCTGTTATTGGAAGAACCTGGGAGCCACGGAGGAGGAACACGTGTGTTTTGGTGAGAAAGCTAAGCTATAGGTTCAGGTTTGAATACTGGGGCTGGGGGTCCTGACTCGGATGCCTGCTGCTGTGAAACAGACCACCTGGGGCCGAGTGCCTGAGGACCACCAGGCCAGCGGGGGTGGGGGTGGGGGGGAGTGTCTCTCAGGGGTCTGTGTCCATCTGGCTTGGGGGGTGCTCACTGGGCATCTCTCTCAATGCAATGAAGTGGCTGCTGGGCTGAAGGTCAAAGCTGGCAGCTTGGGGCTTCGCTGGGCAAGGGGATGTCAGGGGAGCTGCACCTTTCAGGGGCTGCTGGCCTCTGGGGCCCTGGCAGAGGCTGCCAGGGCTCTCAAAGCCAGGTCTGCCATGAGCTTAGAGTGACTTCTCATCTTATAGACAAAGTGGTCACGGGCCCGGCCACGGAGGGGACTAGGGGGAGGGGAAGAGGGGCCACTTCTCTGTAGGCACAACCTTCTCTACTCTGCCGTGGTGCTCGAGGCTTATTTATGTGGAGAAGTATTGGGGGACGATACTGAACCTCAGCCTGGCCCCCCTGAATGAAATCAGAGTTGGAATTGTGAAGGAATGGAGCCTGAATAAATGAGTGAGTAAACAAAGCATGGGTATTGAAATCAGCTTTATCTGATAAAGCAGAAATTGTAAATCAGGGTGTGAGTATTATGCTGAGTAGAATATATTAATATAAATAGCCATCCTGGAGACCATGTTTTATACGGTAACCGTGCAAGTCTGGAAACTTACACACGAGGAGAATGGGTGCGGGGCCAGCCCGTCTTCTGAACGAGAAGTTAGAAGAGGTTATGTGTGTAAAAATGTTCTCCAGTGTTCACTGGTAGAGATGATAGAAATGAAAAGTGTTGATATATCTCGGGCTAATCTTTGTGACGAGCAGGTGACGTTTAGAGAACATGGCTGCTGGTGAACGTGGCTTCCATGAGCCAGCATTCCCCTCTGTTCACCTTCCTCTGGCAAAAGCAATGCCTGAGCCTGGGCTGAGCTGCAAAACCAGCGGTGATTTACACGTGGAAATTGTCAGAAGATCTCTAGAGCTTGCCATTTAGCTCCGATCAAAATACTAAAAAAGACGTATTCAAATACAACAGGTATTTGCAGAGTACGTTATATAAACTGACGTTAATGGCTTAGAAATAGGTAGGACATTTTATTCTATACTTAGAATCCGTCATTGGAATAGGTAATAGAATGCCTGATTTTATCCCACAGCATGGCTTTCTGAAGTCTAGCTGGGAGAATTCTATGTGGGCTAATAATTTCACTGCCATGATTTGAAGTTTTCTCCAATTAGGCAGTAAACTGTCTGCTGAGGCTGCTCTGTACATTTGCTTCCAGTGTCTAGCTTCTTCTTCTGATGGCATGAAAGGGAGTGGCAATGCCGCCGAAGACATTAAATCTTTATCAGATAATGGCTGCAAACTTATAACCATTAAGTGCATATGTGTGTGTGTTATTAACTTATATGTATCTATCTATCTATCTACCCATCCATCCATTCTAATATATAAAAAGCCAGGGGCGGTCATGACTGAAACAATTGGATGGACAACTGAATACAGTCTGCGAGGGGCAACAAGGCAGGCAGGGGGTGTTAGTGAGGGATGACCAAATGACTGACAGCAGGCTGTGTGGAGCGACCAGACTGGCACAGTTGGGGGCATTTGGGGGCGACCAGACTGATAGGGGATAGTTGGGGGCAACCAGGTTGGCAGAGGAGGCAGTTGGGGTGACCAGGCTGGTGGGGGGGCAGTAAAGGGTGACCGCCAGTAAGGGGGGCATTTAGGGGCTATCAGGCCTACAGGCAGAGGTGAATAAAACATTATTGGAGAGTGTGCAGGCTGGGCTGAGGGGACTGCCCTCACTGTGCACAAATTTTGTGCACCAGGCCTCTAGAGTGTGTGTGTGGAGTGTGTGTGTCTATGTGTATTTTCTAGGTATGGTTTTGTTCTTTAATTTGGGAAACAAAAGAGACAATAAAGAGGAAAAGGAGACAAAGCCAAGCAAACGGAGCTTTAGTGAAAGCAAGTCATCTATTCATCAGACTGACATGAATTGCCACGACCGAGGCACCACCCACATCGCAAGGCAGAGCAAAGTCACAGAGGCCCTTCACCAAGCTCTCTGCACACATACCCGCCGGCACAGGAGGCATAAGGAGGAGCCCTAGGTTGGCACACATGATTTCCAAAGCACTGTTCACAAGAAAGGATGTAAAGCTACCTCTAAGATAAGATATACTTATATGCATGTATAGAATTATCCTGGTGAAATGAGCAAATTACAAAAGAATTTGATGGCGGAAGAGAGCTTGAAAGCTAGCCCTGTGATCTTCTGTTACCAAAACTAGCAGCAATAATTTTTCGATGCTAAGCTGTAGAGGAAATAACCTAAAGAAGGAGGCACATGGGCACGCCCCTCCATCCATTCCACCAAGTGCTGGCGCGGATACAGCACGTTTGCCCGGGTATGCAAGGCACTGGTCGCGCCAAGAAGCCCGGGTCCCACATCAAGGCCGAAACCTGGGCGCGTTCCCACGGGCCGCGTGACCCATACCGGACGCCATCAAACAGCTTTAACTTGCACAGCTGAGCGTGGACAGGCCTGGCCCAGCTTCTCCGTCAGCATGGAGGGCACGTGGGCGGGAGCTGCCTTATTCCTGTGCCACTTCCTGTGTGATTATCAGCCCTTTCCCCGTGGGCAGCTGACGCTCCTCCTCCCCAACCAACAGCCCTGGGAGCGCCGCCCGCCTCACGCCGCCGAACACAGGTGCCTCTCTCTCATCGACATGCTGACCAAGCGTGTGACCGAGTCTCTTAACATGAGCCGTTATCAATGCATAAACCTACAGAGAACAGGAACGTGCATGTACAATGCAACCGGCATGACATGATTTATTATTCTCACCACGGGTCCATACAGAAGGTCAAGACATGACAGTCCGGCTCTCAGGCCCCCTGGACAGGTAGCACGGCCGGCCACTATGGGGGCGGGTCACCTCTCCGATGGGGCCAGCCTCGGGGTCTCTGTGCCCCAGCATTCTGTCCCCTGAGCTGGCTCTGAGCTCAAAGGCCGTCACACCTAGCCCTGGCTACTCTCCGTGCCCCCTGGTCCCGGGGAGGGCGGTGTGAGTGATAACACGAAAGGCTCAAAATCGGTTTCCATACCTGATTGCGGACTCTGTTTGGGGATTTTGGCTACCGCGTGAGGGCTGGCGGTGGAGGGCACCCGCTGGCCGGCGGGGCTGTGGGCGCTGCTGGGCACGGCGGCGGCTGAGGCGTTCTTGCGGGGCTTCATATCCTGCAGCCACATGGGCGAGGCCTCGAAGGCCTGCATGCGCCGCGCGTGGCTGTTGGCGTTGACCTTCAGGTAGGCCTGCGCCTTGTGCTCCTGCAGCGCTCCGTAGTTGGCGTCCGTCACCCTGCACTCGTACAGGCCTTCGTCCTTCCTCCTCACCTTGGAGATCTGGAGCTTGTGGGAGATGTCATTGCCTTGGACCTTCACTGTCTGGAAGATGGCAGGGAGAAACAGTAAGTAAAGGGCCACGTCGCATGCCCGCGTCCCCGCACTCTGTCCCAAGCGCGCTCCTGTTGGGAAATGCAAGAGAGCTTCCTGTAGACTGCTTATCTTAGTCTGCCCCCGTGGCCCGCAAGCTGTGGTGGCTCCGAGCCTCATGCGTAAGGTGACCAGACGTCCCACTTTTGGTGGGACAGTCCCGGTTTTTAACAATTTGTCCCACATCCCGCAGCGTTTTAAAAAAGTCCCGATTTTTGGAAAGAATCTTTTAAATCTTTTGAACTTTTTTAAAATGCGGAGGGACACTGGAAATTTTTTTTTTTTTTTTTTTTTTTTTTTTTTTTTTTTTATGAGTTTGCCAACCACTGGTCTACCCCAACTGGCTTTCACCAAGCATGAGCTAATTAGTTCCATCCAGCCAGCGCCAGGACTGCATGAGCCTCAGGTGCTGGTACCAGCGCTTCTGTTTTCCAGTCCTGGTTCTGGCCGCTGCCTAGCTGGCTCAGCTGAAGGAAGCATGAGCCTGAAGAGGCCAAGTCTAGAACTGACAGTGCCTCTTTTCTTCACGCTGGGCCCCAACTCTGAGAGATTCCAGAAGCATTCTGTGGGTGGCTGTGACCACATTCTTATTTCACCGAGAATGAGCTCTCATCCCCACATGAGAATGACAATTAAAGGTACCAACAAAATAGACTTGGATATTAATGATTTTTCTTCTCAATTTTTGGGGACACTCTGACCTATGGTCATGGGGTGGTGTGACTCAGGGTGCAGAGCAGACTAACATCACCTGAAGTCTGAGCTCGGAGCACAACCCTGGCCATCATGGGGTTTCTATGCTACAGAAACTCTGAACACTGCCCTGTTTTTCAAAATGGAAATTGGCACTCATTTCTTCTAATAATGTTTAGGCCAGATTAATAGCAAGAGTATATACACTGAGTGGCCAGATTATTATAATCTCTGAACACATAATAATCTGGCCACTCAGTGTGTGTGTGTGTGTGTGTGTGTGTGTGTGTGTATGCATGTATATTATAGGCCGTGTGCATGAATTCGTGTGCCAGATTATTATGCGTTCAGAGATAACAATAATATATTACATAATAATTATATATATTGCATAATAATTATATATTACATAATAATAATAAGTAATATATATATCCCTAAACATCTTTATCAAAACAGCTAGATTTACTAGACATTATATGCTATCCATGACTAGATGATGACGGGTTTCATAAGACACTCAGACTATTCCACACACAGTTATGAAAAGTAAGAGCCAGTAACGTAGAAACCTCTCTGCATTTCACGGGTGAACCTCTTCCATCACGTTTGTGTGTGTGTTTGGCTTTGGACTTTGCGTTTATCTGATTTCCTGTCTCAGCACCATTTCCTGCGAAAGCAGCACCCGCAGTCTCCCTGGTTGTGAGTGGCCAGCAGCTCGGCTCCTGCAGGCTGTCACTGCTGGAAAGCAGAGAGCAAAGAAGCACCGCACCTCCCTGCTGGCACCGACTCCCGGGAACTGCTCACACATGGAACGGCTCACACATGGAACGGCTCACACATGTAATCACATGTTGTGATTAAAAAAAAAAAAAAATATATATATATATATTCACGCGCCAGCTCTAACGGGCCTCCGCCTTACGCGCCCAGAGCGGAGGGGCACTGGCTTCGGTTGCTTCCGCAGAGACAGTGGCAGAGGTTCCCAGGGCCCCAGGAAGCCTAACACACACTGACTGTCCGGCCGCCCGGCCGTCCGCCCGGCACTCACGCTGATCTTGGTGCCGTCGTTGTCGGGGTCGCGGTCGGGCAGCAGCTCGGCCTGCGGAGAAGGAGAGGAGCTCAGCCCGCGCCGGGGCCGGGGCCGCAGCCGCGGGCCCATCACCGCTGCCCGGAATCGGAATCGGGGCCGCGGCCGGTTTGCGGGGAGAGGAGCGCGGCCCCCCGCCTCCGCCTCCGGGCTGCGAGCCCGGCCTCCGCCGCGCGGGGGCGCTGGCCGCCCGCGCTCAGAGGCGCCGGGACGCGTGGAGCCGGAGCGCGGGGAGGGGCGCGGGCGCGGGGAGGGGGAGTTTGCGGGGACCAGGCCCCGCCTTTGCCCGGACTGCGTCCCCTCCCCGGGTCGCAGGGTCAGACTTGCTTCTTCTCATCCCGAAGCCCCACGTCAGCGGCCTCTTTGGCTGAACTCTGTCTCCAACCTGCGCTCCGATCCCTTTTCCTTCCCGTCTCTCCCCCGTCCTGCCCCTTTTCCTCTCCCCTCCCTCCTCTCTCTCCTCCCTCTTCCCCTCCAGCCTCGCCCCCTCCACTCTTCTCCTCCCTCTGTTCCCCAGTGGCCCCTCGCCCCTCCCCACTCCCTCTGCACCCGCCCCCTCCTCCCAGGCCCCTCCTCCTCGCCTCTCTCCCTCCTCCTGGTACCCCCCTCCCTTCTCTCTCTGGAACCTCTTCTGCCAATCAATCACGGGCGTGGGGGCGGGGGATAGAGACACCCACAGAGTTCCCCGGACCCCGCCCCACCCCGCCCCGCCCCACCCCACCCACCCCACCCCACCTCAGGTCCCTGAGACGGGGCAGCGGGTGTCCCGGGACAGATCAGCACTGAGTGCCATCGCACACATCTGGACAAGAACCGGGACTGACAGGAGGAGGCCATTCCCAGTCTGAACCAGACAGACTCACAGGCTGCCTCCTTGGCTTTCAACTAGCGTCTCCAGGACGCACGGAGCTCACCCCCTGGCGTCCCTGGGCCTCCCTCCCGCCAAGAGCGCCAGCGGCTCCCAAGGGACCTGGGCTTGCACCCCTGGCTCCACACCCAGGCGCCCGGTCTTGCACCCCGGGCCCCACACCCAGAGGACCCAGGGAGGGAGAGAGTGTGAGGGCCACCCGGACCCTCTACCTGGGCGCCGGCCACCTCGGCCGCGGGCTCCGGGCCCGGGGGACCCCGCAGGAACCACCACTGGATCTCCAGATACACCGAGGCCGAGCCGCTCTGGAAGGCGCACGACATCTCCACATTCTGCCCCTCGGTGGCCGTCACGTTGCGGGGAAACTCAGTGAATTTTGCTGCAAAACAGAAACGCACCCTTTAGGAGATCCACAGCATGCCTGCCAGCTCCGTTCCTGAAGGGATCGCTCCCTTTTCTTGGCTCCAAAAACAAAATCCAGAACAAACCCCTTCTCTGACATCCTGCCCTTTGCCTGGCTCCCCGCCCCCTCTCCGTCGCCTGTCTTATTTTTGGTGCCCGGCCCACATCACTGTGCTGTCCGTCAGGCCCAGGGAATGGAGAGCCTAAGGAGCCTGCCAATAACTCCTCTGCTCGCCAGGCTGCTCGGCGAGGAGCAGAGCAAGCCTCCCGGCAGCCTGCAGCCCCCGGGTTACCACACCTGCCCCGTTACCGGGTTACCACAGCCCCCGGGGTGCCAGACACACCTGCCGAGGGGGTGGGTGAGGACGGCCTCTTGCCCCCAAGTTTCCCAGCCACCCATGGTAACTGGAAACCTCATGGGGCAGAGAATGGATGGTGACTGCCACAACACTCCTTCCTGATGTGTCAGAAGCAATTAGCAATGGTGCTTCCGCACTGGAACCAGCCACACTTCCTCAGCTCCGAGGACCCCTTGCTCTCCACTTTCACCTTCATGGTGCTCCCGGCAGGCAGGCCTCGTGCTGTAAATTGCCACCCATCCCGGGACGAAGGGACCGCACATCTGGACACCCAGGTTGTGGTGAAGCCAATAGAGAGATCCCCGCCCCCCTCCTCCTCTTTCCATGACCGACCTCGACCCTGCAGTTTGCAAGATCCATGGACTCAGAGCAAAACTCACAAAGATGAGATGCTCCGTCCCTCTCCAGGCACGTCTGTGAGGGGCACGCTTCAGCGGGCATGCTTATCTGTCTGAGGGACACTGGGGAGGCGCTGAGGGGTCCCCAAAAGTAATGTCAGCAAGGCCTGGACAGCGCACACGCGTGGAAGGGGGGCCCAGGGGCTGCAGGACCGGCTTGGGGGGGGGGTGAATGCACGTCCCCGGCCCCCACTTTTTAAGGAGACACCACCAGCGTCCCTTTTCACAATCTCATGAAACCCCAGATGATCTCCACGGACATGGCACTGCATTTACACCCGGAGGGAATGGGAGAGCCAAGAAGACGTGCTGATGGGGAAGGACTTTTTGTGGGGGGCGGTTGGGGTGGGGGAAAGAGAGAAAGAGGAGGTGGCTTTTCTGCCTCCAAGGGCTGCGGGCTCAGGCCCTGGCCCCGCCGCGAGCTCTGTTCGTGGTGCTGAAACCGGCCCGCAGCCCGCGGGGCCGCGAACCCCAGATTCCGCAGGCTGCAGCCCTGGGAACGCAAGCTCTGGGCGCCTCTCACCGACCCTCTGAGGGCCTGTCCTCTGACACACACACACACACACACACACACACACACACACACACACGCATACGAAGTCACCGGACCCAGGAGAATGGGAACTAGAAGCCCGCCTGCCTCCACGGAGCAGGGGACCGGCCTGGGGGAGCCCCCGGTGCTGGCCACGGTTATGCATGAGCCGCTACCTTATGCATGCACACAGGAGGCACACACACACACACACACACACACCCGTGCTTCTGCCGGGCGGGCTCCGAATAGACGAAGAGATGTGCTCTCAGATCCAGCACCCCTGCCGTTCCATCAACTTTAAAGGAAAAAAAAAATGCCCAACGGAACGCGGTGGTTCCAGCGTTCCTGGCCAGGAATCTCACATCTGCCCGGATACACTGCACACGCACACACACACAGGCACACACACAGGCACACACACAGGCACACACACAGGCACACACTCAGGCACACACACACACACACACACACACACACCAGCGGATGCACGCGGCCCGGGAGCCGCACTTACCTTGGGAGGAGACCCCCTGCTGCACGCAGAACACAGAAAAGGCGACCCCGACCCACGCCACGAAGACCCCCATCTTCCAAAAAAAAAAAAAAAAGGAAAATAAAGGGGGGTCACATCGGCGGGCGCAGCCCCGCAGCCGGAGAGGAAGGAGGGACCGCGGCGCCCGGCGAGCTCAGAGGCCGGCGCGGGGCTGCGCGCACCCGGATCGCGCTCCGCTGAGGGCGGGAGCGGGGAGCGGGGAGCGGGGAGCGGGGAGCGGAGGCTGCACCGGGAGCTGCACCGGCGGAGGGAGGCTGCACCGGGAGCTGCACCGGGAGCTGCACCGGGAGCTGCACCGGGAGCTGCAGCGGCGGCGCGGGGGCCGGGCCGGGCGCCGGAGTCTCCCGCCTGGTGCTGCGCCCCGCGCCCCGCGGCCCGGCCACGTCAGCCGGGCTCGGGCTTGCGTGGTCGCCGCCCCCTCCGCGCCGCGCCAGCCGGGAGCGGGGAGCGGGGAGCGGGGAGCGGAGCGGAGCCGGAGCGGCCGGGCGGGCGGAGGACCTCGGAGGCGGCTCCGGCGCCGCAACTTTCCGTCTGACGCTGCGCGGAGCCTTAACCCGCTGCGCGCCGGCCCACCTGCCGCGGGAGCGGGCTCCGCCGTCAGGGCTCCGGCTCCGGCTCCGGCTCCGGCAGAGGAGCCGCGCTGAGCCTCCCGCCCGCCCCCTAACGTGCGGGTTCCTGGCAGCCTGGCTCCCGCACCGCCGGGCGGGACTGCGGCGCAGGCTGGGGGCGGGCTCCGCTGGAGAGGAAGTGGGGGCGGGGGGCTGGAGGGGGCTGGAGGGAGTCCGCTTCGGGGGATGGATCGGCCGCTTAGCCAGTAAGTAACGGGCGGCCCACAGGGCCCCCGGGCTGCGGTCTCGCCGGATTCCTTGCTGCACAGCCTCCTCCGGGGAGAGAGACAGCCAGGCGGGCACCCCACCACCCCAGCTGGCCAGTGGAAGGGACGGAAAGTCCCCAAAGCCAGGCCCTGAGAGAATTTTCCAGAAAGAAAAGCCTACCGGACGAAGTGTACTTGTGTTTATTTTTAAAACTCCCATGCCCCGCTGCCTCCACCTCCATGTGTTTTGGAAGGGGGTGGGTGGGTAGATTTTTAAGTATCACTAAGGCCTTCCTTGCAGGATTCATTTGTTTACTTGCTTTCCTGTGGTCTGACACAGTGGTTCTCTAAGGTTCCACAGGATGCTGAGGGTGCGGAATACTGCCATAGGTACAAAAAGCACAATACGTGTTGGAATTTGGAACCCAACTAGTTACCCGCCTTGGAGGAGCTCTGAGATGTATCGTCTTAGTGAGACTTCGAAAACGGTAACATCCCAGTGCAGCCTCTGTCAGTTGGAAGTCCAACCGTTAGTCAGTGATTTTAAACTTTTGAGCAATATTAAAACCACTCGCGGTCTAAGCAGAGCACCAGATACGTCCTTCCCTTTTATTAGTTCTATCAATACCATAAGTTGTCAGTACTTCTTGGAAACATGACTCAGTCTTAACCATGTGGCCAACCAACGCAGTAAAATGCATTTCCATTTTCCTTATAAAAATGTAGTAGTTGGGTAATCCTTTCACTGAGCAGGGGGTGGAAATGAACCTTACCATCGTTGCTGGTTTTTAAACCAGTACCTACTGAGGAGTGGAAGTACCTTACAAGGTCAGGAACAAAGCAATTCTATTTGTTTTCTGGAGGGACATTGATTTTCCACTGTGGGCAGAGGCGGAATATAACATTTGGAGGACGTCATGGAGATATTTGACATCTGTTCATGTGTAGGCCAACAGGATGCTATGGCCTTCCTTCTGCAAAGGACCCTGAAACATGTCATCCCCCCAAAATAAATGTCTCCTTATGTGATAATGTGTTCAGAACACAGGACCAGGCCCACGCTCACACATACTCCCTGAACATTTTTCGGAAAATAAACTCTCGGGGTGCAAGGTCCTCAGAAGGGAGCTGTCGCCTGCACACCTCACTGGTCACACTCAATGTTTACCTCAAGACTTTGGCTTTTTTAGAGCATTCAGCGTAAACATGTGATTTGTATGTCACCCACGTGAGCTGACTTCAAGGTTATCTGCAGTTGGAAGGGTTTCCGATATAAAGAAAAGGGCCTCAGTCCTCTGTGCCCTGGTTACCGGAGTGAAGAAGATTGAAGGGTAGCAAAGGGGACCACATACATGGTGATGGAAGGAGTCTTGGCTCTGGGCAGTGTGCACACAGTGCAATGCATAGCTCATGTAATAGACATGTACACCTGGGACCTATGTGATCTTAGTCACCGATGTCACCCAGTCCATTTAATTAAAAAACATAAAAAAACAGAATGAGAAAAGTTCAGAGCCACAGAAAAAGGAAAAGGGCATCCATTTTAAGCAGGGGAGTTCTGAGTTCACGGAGGAAAGCCCTTCGGCTGCTTTTACGGGGGAAGTTGGTCTCAGTCACCGCAAAAGAATAACAAACGTGAGTTTCAAACGAAAAATGAAGTGTGCCCAAAGCTGGTAGAGACCAGATCAACCACCAAACACTTTACACAGGAAGTTACAACGTTAAAACAACAAGAGGAAGAGGAAGATAGGAGGGAGGGAGGAAGGGGGGGATTGGAAAGGATTTATGTTCTTTTTCTTACGAAAAGTGCAGGATAGATGTTTTATTTTCCGCTTTGTCATTGCAGACCAAAAATCTTATCTTAAGTACCCTCTGCGGTGCCATCCCCAGGCCTGGACACAGTGCCGGTGAACACATCTGCATTATCTCCTCGCCTCATTTAAGACAAAATGCCCTTCTATTAACAGTTTGAAGCGATAAGAAAATTTAATTAAAAAGTAAATATATTCAGCATATCAAATGGCCCGGCTCTGAGAGGAAGTGCATTATTTCAGACCGATCCTTCTAGAACACTGCCTTCTCTCACAGGAAGGGCATGACCTGTTAGCAGAGACCAGTTGTCCGCGGCCGCGGGAGAGCCGTGTGTGCCCATCGGTCCTTCCCCAGGAGGATGCGGTGCTTTACTCTGGAAAGGTGACTGCAGCCGGCTTACAGACACCCACTCAGTCACTGCTGCTCCCAGACAGAATCCTACAACCTCATTTTTAAAAAACTCTTGTCTTGCCCTCTTAGTTAACATTGGGTCATTGTTTTTTCTTTAAAAAAAATTTAAATATCTTTATCACCACAGCTATTTCCCTCGGCAATTTATGATAAGAAGGCTTACTCTTACACTTAATGTGTTCCTTCCACAGGCTTAATTAAGTCTGAGTTCATTCCATGGCCTGTGTTTGGTAGCCTGCATTTTACCCTCTTTCTTTTTTTCTTTTTTGTATATAAAAACTAGTTTAAATTTGTCTTTTAAACTCTACCCTCGCATTATATCTGCAGCTGTTAGGTAAGGGTTGAGAGCCACGAATCCAACAAGAGCTGAACTGGGGATGGCGTTCTTTCAGTCCTGGGACTACAGACCACGTCCCCCCTCTTTCCTAAGAGGGCCTTGGATTTGGGGGGAATCCGTATTTCATTCCCATAAACACATCGTAGAATGACTTTCCGTGTTGGACCACCATAATCCACTCTCTTTGGGCCTTAAGTGCCCAATGTAAAAGAGTCTGAATAATTGAAGACTAGGCAAAACTAGGCCTTAATTAATAAAATATAATATATAATAAAAGGCTAGTAAGCAAATCAACTGACCGACTGGTCTCTATGACACGCACTGACCACCAGGGGGCATATGCTCAACCCAGGAGCTCCCACAGGGGGAGCTCTGCTCAGCCAGAAGCCGGGCTCACAGCTGCTGAGCCCAGCAGTGGTGGCTGGGAGCTATCCCATCTCTGCAGCAGTGCTAAGGATATCAGACTGATGGCGTAGGCCCTTGGGGAGCAGGCCTAAGCCATCAGTGGGACATCCCCTGAGGGCTCCGGGACTGCGAGAGGGGGCAGGTCCAGCTTAGGGACCCCCACTCCAGTGTATGAATTTTGTACATCAGGCCTCTAGTTTATTATATTTTTGTTGATTTCAGAAAGGGAGATGGAAAGAGAGAAAGAAATATCAATGATGAGAATCATTTATTGGCTGCCTCCTGCACACCCTACACTTGGGATCAAACCTACAACCCAAGCATGTGCCCTTGACTGGAATCGAACCCCGGACCCTCCAGTCCGTAGTCCAATGCTTTATCCACTAAGCCAAACTAGCCAGGGCTGCCATTGACCTTTTATTTTATGTTGTCTTGGCCTTTTGACTGTGTTTTGAATGGAAGCTTAACAATTCAGGATATGAACTCAGAATCTGGCATTTATATTTAAATCACTTCTAAAGATAATGGGTATTTGTGCAATTTTTGATATATTCCAAAATTTCCAGGAAAATATTTTAAAGCATGGAATGGAGGTAAAATTATTTCCTTGTTCTGTGTCCTATTCAGGGCACCAATAATGCTTCTAACTTTTTTCCCTTAACTTAATCTGTTCCTGGATTATGGGAATCTTAGTGAGAAAAGAGGTTTTCCCACCATCTCTCCTCAGGCCTGTCGTGACCATCTTCCAGTGGGAATTTTTCTCCTTGCTCCCCAGACGTATTCCATTTTGAGGAAATACTTACTGTAAAAATGTTCTTGATTTTGCTGAGACAAAAATGAAAATACTAAAGAAATAAAAGGGGGATGGAAAAATAATGTGATTTTGTGGAAACCTGGTCCTTTTTATAAACATCTTTTTCATCACCTGCCTTCCCGGATTCCCAGCTCTCTAAGAGCTCCGCGATCCAACTCCTCAGAACTGGGGGGCCATCTGGGGGCGGGGGGCACCCCTAGGGCACATTTTATAACTGTTTCAATCTCCTCTCAGGAGAGGTTGTGCTTTGATTGACACTTAGACCTGACGATGTACCAGCACTGACAATTAGCTTCGCAACCCGTGAATCAAAAAGCGAGTCTCAAACCAGAATGGGGAAAAGGTGAATTAAATTACTATCTTAATATTGCTGAGCAGCCTCCCATTTTCAGCGCAGGAGAGGGAACTGTGGGTTCAACATTTTAATTGATGCCTTCACTTACTCATTCAAGGGTGCGCTGCATACCCACAGCACGTGGGGCGAGGTGCTAAATTTATGTCATCAGCCCTCTCGCTTTCAAACTATTTTG